TTTTCACCTTTGGTGGACGTGCCCAAGGATTAAGGCTTTCTGGGAGATGATATATAATGAATTTAAAAAGGTATTTAAATATACCTTCTTGAAGAAACCATAGGCCTTTCTCTTGGGCATAGTCGGCCAATTGGTGCTAAAGAGGGACAGAACTTTCTTTATGTACGCTACAACAGCAGCAAGAATACTTATTGCAAAGTACTGGAAGACACAAGATCTACCCACCTTGGAAGAATGGCAGATGAAGGTGATGGACTATATGGAACTGGCGGAAATGACTGGCAGAATCCGAGACCAGGGAGAAGAGTCGATGGAGGAAGATTGGAAAAAGTTTAAAGATTATTTACAGAAATATTGTAAAATTAATGAATGTTAGAATGATGCTGGATATGAAACTAGGTGGTCTCTAGCAGAAATGCTATAAAGGTGAATGATAAAAAGGATTGATTATGCAGTATGAAAATCTAAAGTTATAGCATTATTATGATTAATGGATCATGATATTAACAAGAGGGAAGGAATTTGCTTGTACAAAATAGTTGAACTGCAATATAAACAGGACAGGTTTGACAGGTCTTGTCAATTAATGTAAATGAAGGTTATAATAATCGAAGGAAAGAATTGCTTCTAGTATTTGAACTCATGTATTATCCTTTGATTCGATTGTTGCATTTTCTTTGTGTGTTTTGTAGAACATTGAAACGACTTCTTAATAAATATCTCATAATTAAACTAAAGAACTACAAAGCCCACAGGAGACAGGGATGGCTAGACCAATTCATGAATGAAAGGACTATTGATCGCCATTAGCCACAATGGCCTCTCCATCATTGGAAGACAGCAAATGCTTCTGAATACCAGTTGCTGGAAACCACAGGAGGAGAAAGTACTGTTGTGCGCTGGTCCGACTTGCAGGTTTCCCTTTGGGGCATCTGCTTGGCCACTGTGAGAGCAGGATCCTGATCCAGCAGGCTCTTCTCATGAGTGGCTTTGTTGCTTGACCCAGGCTGGCCTCTGAGACGCTCTCTCTTTTCCTCCCTGTAGTGCGGTCCTCTCGGCCCTTGGGAGTTTCCTGGCTCAGATCATCGAGAAGAACCAGAAGAAAAGAGGTCTCGATTTGGCTGGTCCTTTGAGATTCTTCATCTATGGGTAAGTGTGGGGGCCAGAATGGGGCCCCATTCTTCCCAGGGTGGATCTGGACAGGTTTGCAAAGCATGCTGTGCCCGCTTGGAAATATAGGGAGGTTGGCAGGGCCACAGCCAGATTTCACACGCCACATAGTTAAACTGTGGAACTCACTGCCACAGGAGGTAGCAAGGGCCACTAACTCGGATGGCTTTAAAAGAGAATAAGGCTACCGATAGTTACTATGCGAGGCAGTAACACTTCTGAATGCAATTTCCTGGAAACTGCAGATGGGTCTAGTACCCTTGTGCTTGGGTTGTTCTTGGATCCTGCTTCTCACTGTGAGAAAAGGATGTTGGACTAGATAGACCATGGACCACAACCAGCAGTACAGCTCCTTTGACATTCTTAACCAGCACAATTGGAATTTGCCGGGGGGGGGGCAACAAGGATGCCCCTTTCCCCATATACATTGCAACCACTGACCTGCAGCCAAATATTTATCTGGCAATGGCTGCCCTTTAGAGCCCCCTGCCCGTCGTTGGCACCCTCCAAATGCCCCTCGCTGCTCTCTTTTTGGTGAGCGCTGAAAACAATTTTTGCTTAGGCCAGCTGAGCCAGACATGTCGAATTGACACATGTTTTATTCCTTGTTAGCTGCTATTGATTTTAATCACCCGTTGAATGCTTTTGAATTCCCGTTTTTAAAAAAATCGTTTTTAACATCGGCTCAGAGGTTTTCTGACGACCAGGGTTGTGATGTAGTAAAATAATCTTGCGAAATAGTGAACAATCCCTTCTCCTCTTAGCAGCCAGGAGGTTGCATGATATCACAGCAGCTCAGCGAATGGGGGAAGCTTATGGGTTTTGTTGCTGGGGTTTAAACTGTCTGGAGCCGAGTTTTTATAGTTAAGCTGGTATTTTTTGGAGAGGCAGAATGATGTCTGTATGAACAATATACAATCTCCCTTCCTGCCCCCCTCCCCCTTCCTGCTTTTCCAGGTTTTTCTTCACTGGGCCACTGAGCCACTATTTCTACCTCTACTTGGAGCGATGGTTCCCATCGGATGTGCCAGTTTCCATCGCCAAGAGACTCCTGCTGGACCGGCTTGTGGTTGCCCCAGCCTTCCTAGTGCTTTACTACTTCGTCATGAACCTGCTGGAGGTATATCCCTGGGTCTGCCCTGTGATGGAAAAGCTTGTGCCCATCAGTTGATGCTCAAATCAGGGTGGCGGTGACGGTGGCTGTATGTGGAGCAAGCTTTTCTCCTCTTGCTCAGGAGGGTAGTGAATGTCAGGAGTTCAGCCTACACTCGAGTAGGACCTTGGCAGAGACACATGCCCGACTGGCACGTTCCCTCCATCCTGGTCGATCTTTCGGGAGCTTCATAAGCTTTCTTCAGCCTGAACATCACAGCGACCGATGCCAACCGACACCGGCACACTTAGGGATCCGCAGAGTTTGCGCATCATGCGTAACAGACCTCAGCAACTCAGCGTTTTGGCTAATCTATTTACATATAAACACACATGGAGCACTGCAACATGGCTCCCTCTCTAGCATCAGACAGCAAAAAGAAAAAGAACAAAGGACAATACTTCTACTTCACGGAACACAGTAACACAAATATCTTGTCTCCATCACTTCCCGCTCTGTGGAGTCAAAACATACCACGTCATGTGAAAGACAAACAATCCTATGACTGCAATCACAGAGCAGGAATGCTAACAGTGAAGTGTAGGTGGGTTCCCACAAGGCAAGGCACAGTGATAACAGCAAGAACCATTCTTGAAATAACAGAACTGGGCAACAGGGGCAAAACAACTGCTTACATACGTTTCTGAAGGCCTGGGCCACTCCCACTCCCAACATGATTGGCTGTCTAAACTTCCAACTGCGAATTGTGACTCTGAGTTTTAAGGGCCAATGGCAGAGGCCCAAATCCTGAAATGTTCTGTGATTGGATATCATGTTTTGAATCAGGATACAGGGCCTCAGAATCCTTAGTCCAGACTCAAGCTCAGGCAAACACAGACCACTGAATACATAACAGGTAGGACCCGAACAAAGGGCTTCAAGATACAAGAAAGGTGATTCCAACTAAATGCCAGGAAGAACTTTTGGACTGTAAGAGACGTCTGACAGTGGAGTTTGTGGATTCTCATTCACTGGAGGTTTTTAAGCAGGGTCTGGGTAGCCACCTGTTGTGGGTGCTTTAGAGATTCCTGCATTGCAGGGGGTTGGACTAGATGACCGTTAGGGTCCCTTCCAACTTTACGATTCTATGATTCTAAAAAGCGAATCCCTGAACAACGTAGGTCGAGGGTACCTCAGGGACCAGCTGAGCCCTTATATCCCAACTAGATCGCCGAGATAATCTGCAGGAGCACCACTGGTCATTCCTCAAGTTGCTAAGGCTCATTAGACAACAATAAGAAACACAAACAACAGCAATAACCTTTAGTATCGTTGGTCCAGGCTTGTGGAATATCCTGCTGGTGGAGATTCAGCAGGCATCTTATTTTAAACACCTGCTGCAGACTTTTCTGTTCTGTCAGGCTTACTATGCGAGCAATTAAGAACGCATCCTTCAGGCAATGATGTCTGTTTTATACGGTTTTAGCTTAGTTTATTATTGCTCTGTTTTTCTTTTAATGATATAGCAGTATACACTTCTTTTTTAAAAAAAAAAGAAATAAAATTTTTTTGCTGATAAAGTGGTGCTATAAACCTTGCTGAATAACTTATGTGAATCCCGGGCCAGTTGTTTCTCTCTCTTGGCCTGAGCTGCCTCACAGGGCTGTTGTGAGGCTAGAATGCCAATAATAATAATAATAATAATAATAATAATTAATTATCCCACCCATCTTGCTGGGTTTCCCCAGCCACTCTGGGCAGCTCCCAACAGAATATTAAAAACATGAGAAAACATCAAACATTAAAAACTTCCCTAAACAGGGCTGCCTTCAGATGTCCTCTAAAAGTCAGATAGTTGTTTATTTCCTTGACATCTGATGGGAGGGCGTTCCACAGGGCAGGCGCCACCACCAAGAAGGCCCTCTGCCTGGTTCCCTGTAACCTCACTTCTCGCAGGGAGGGAACCGGCAGAAGGCCGTCAGCTGGACCTCACTGTCCGGGTAGAACGATGGGGGTGGAGACGCTCCTTCAGGTAAACTGGGCCGAGGCCATTTAGGGCTTCAAAGGTCAGCACCAACCCTGGGATCTGGGTTGGCTGGGACTTGAACCACTGCAGAAAAGGTGCAGGACATCCCCCTGGTCCACCCCCCTCCCTCGAGGCCTCCTCTGGCTCAGTTTATCCGTGTCTTTCAGGGGAAGGATACCTCTGCTTTCATCAAAAGGATGAAATCCAGCTACTGGACATCCCTCAAGATGAACTGGAAGGTGTGGACGCCGGTCCAGTTTATCAATCTGAACTACGTGCCTATGCAGGTGAGAGGACTCGCTTTTTGGTCGGGGGGGGCGGATCCCACTCCGTGGGGTGCTGAGCCGGTGGGGGGGGGGGGGAGAGACTCACACGATTCCCTCCACGCACCCCAGGCATTCAGTCCTCGCATGCATGTCTCCCAAGCGGTTCAGGGTACATCCATGAAAGTATCAGTCCTCTTAGGGCTGGGATAACCGGGAGCTTCCAGATGCTGGACTCCAAATCCCATCAGCTCTAGCCAGCATGAAGGGCAGCCGTGAATGATGGGAGTTGGAGGCCACCGACACCTGGAAGGCCACAGGTTTCCCCCATCTCTGAACTTATAGTGCATCTGGTGTTATGAAAGGTAGCCATGGCCGTAGCTCAATGAGAAGGCAACTTCCTTGTGCCGGCTTCAATCCTTAGCCCTGAGAGAGCTGCTGCCAGTCAGTGCAGACAGTACTGTGGGAAATGGGCCAGTGGCCTGACTCGGTAAGTCAGCTTCCCGTGTCTTAAAGGGAATGGCTGTAGCTCAGTTGTAGAGCCAGGGCCGGCCCAGCCATGAGGCAAGGTGAGGAGACTGCCTCAGGCAGCAGAATCCACTAGTGCAGCAGATCCCAGTGTAGATCTTTATCTCTCCCCTTGTTCCTGATGTAGAATCATAGAGCCATAGAATTTTTAGACTTGGGAGAGACCCTGAGGATCATCCAGTCCAGTGTTTCCCAAACTTTGTTGTTGGACTACAACTTCCATCATCCCTAGCTAGCAGGACCACTGGATAATACTACTACTACTAATAATTTATTATTTATACCCCGCCCATCTGGCTGAGTTTCCCCAGTCACCCTGGGTGGCTCCCAGTCGAGTGTTAAAAACAATACAGCATCAAATATTAAAAACTTCCCTGAACAGGGCTGCTTTCAGATGTCTTTTAAAGATAGGATAGCTGCTTATTTCCTGAAGGGAAGTTGTTCCACAGGGTGGGCGCCACTACCAAGAAGGCCCTCTGTCTGGTTCCCTGTAACCTCACTTCTCGCAATGAGGGAACTGCCAGAAGGCCCTCGGCGCTGGATCTCAGTGCTGAACGATGGGGGTGGAGACGCTCCTTCAGGTATACTGGACCAAGGCTGTTTAGGGCTTTAAAGGTCAGCACCAACACTTTGAATTGTGCCGCATTCTGGATTAATTGCAGTTCCCGGGTCACCTTCAAAGGTAGCCCTACGTAGAGCGCATTGCAGTAGTCCAAGCGGGAGATAACTAGAGCATGCACCACTCTGGCGAGACAGTCTGTGGGCAGATAGGGTCAGCCTGGATGATGGGAGTTGTAGTCCAACAACAGCCGGAGACCCAAGTTTGGGAAATGCTGATCCTAGTCCAACCCCCTGCAGTGCAGGAATAGGCATCTGTTTCCCCACAGGGATCAAACCTGCAACCTTGGCGTTATCAGCACCACGCTCTAACCCATGTAGATCTTCACCCACCCTTTCTTCCCTGCCAGGGAAGGGCTCCATTTTGTGGTTTGCCAGAATGCCTTGGGCTGGCCCTGGGTAGAGCCTCTGTTTTGCATGCAGAAGATCCCGGGTTCAGTCCCCGACAGCACCTCCAGGGAGGTGAACGTGGTAGGTCAGAACTTAAATTCTAACCAAATTCCTCCTCAACACAGTTCCAGGTGCTGTTTGGGAACCTGGTGGCCCTCTTCTGGTTTGCCTACCTGGCCTCTGTGAAGAAGTGACCCTGCAGGAGCTGACGGTCGAAGAAGAAGCTGCCCTTCATGCTTGATAAAGTTGCCTGCCGGGGCAGGCAGCGGAGGACGAGGGACTGTGCTTAGAGAACTGATTTGCTGCCTGCCGTTGCACAGTTACTGTCTGACACTCTTCTGCTCCTTGAGGAAAGCAGGGATGGGAATGGGATGCTCTGTGCCATCTTCCAGCTGGGTCCTTCCGGGCCCTGTCACTTTAACAATCACATCTGGTACACTACGTTTATTAATTTTGTTTCTCATTTCTTAACGTTTAGTTTTTCGGGGGGGGGGACAGACAGCAGGCAATAACTTTTTTTTTTTAAAGGTGCTTTAATGGGAATGGTTTAAAAAATGTGTACTGGAATTGGGAAAACCAGCACAAGCCATTTTATGTGCGTGTTTTTAAAAGAAATAAAATTGAGAAGATTAATCTCTTAAACGATAAAAGGGGGAAATTACTGGTTTTGTTGAAGAGGTGAGATACCTGGCTAGGGGGTGGGGGGAAGGATGTGTGAAAAGGATTGCAAGCCTATTGTGAGCTGAAGGTGAGCCAGCAAAGTGAGGCAGCTGCAGAAAAGGCGAATGCAATTTTTAGGCTCCATTAACAGCAACCTCAGATATGCAGAAGGACACAGCTTTGATGGCAGAAAGTGAGAAGGAATTAAAGAACCTCTTAATGAGGGTGAAAGAAGAGAGCGCAAAATATGGTCTGAAGCTCAACGTTAAAAAAAACTAAGATCATGGCCACTGGTCCCATCACTTCCTGGCAAATAGAAGGGGAAGAAATGGAGGCAGTGAGGGATTTTATTTTCTTGGGCTCCATGATCACTGCAGATGGTGACAGCAGTCACGAAATTAAAAGACGCCTGCTTCTTGGGAGAAAAGCAATGACAAACCTAGACAGCATCTTAAAAAGCAGAGACATCACCTTGCCAACAAAGGCCCGTATAGTTAAAGCTATGGCTTTCCCTGTAGTGATGTATGGAAGTGAGAACTGGACCATAAAGAAGGCTGATCGCCGAAGAATTGATGCTTTTGAATTATGGTGCTGGAGGAGACTCTTGAGAGTCCCATGGACTGCAAGAAGATCAAACCTATCCATTCTGAAGGAAATCAGCCCTGAATGCTCACTGGAAGGACAGATCGTGAAGCTGAGACTCCAGTACTTTGGCCACCTCATGAGAAGAGAAGACTCCCTGGAAAAGACCCTGATGTTGGGAAAGATGGAGGGCACAAGGAGAAGGGGACGACAGAGGACGAGATGGCTGGACAGTGTTCTCGAAGCTACCAGCATGAGTTTGACCAAACTGCGGGAGGCAGTGGAAGACAGGAGTGCCTGGCATGCTGGCATGCTCTGGTCCATGGGGTCATGAAGAGTCGGACACGACTTGCTTGACGTTTGGCTTCTGAAAATCATTTGAAAACCAGAAGACTCACTTCCGGGTTTCGATTGTTTGGGAGCTGATTTGTTTGGGAGCCAAGGCATTTGAGATCCAAGGTACGACTGAATAATAAGTAAAAGGAAAAAGAAAGATTAAAACACACATCAGCATTCTGCATGACTGCATCATAAGCTAAATATTTTTAGCAGGTGCCAAAAACAGCGCAGGGAAGACCAGTGTGATTGTAATGGCTAGAGACATGGGAGGCCATGCTCAAATCTCCACTCTGCCAAGAAGCTCCCTGGTTGAACTTGGGCCAGTCGCCATCTCTCAGCCTAGCCTACCTCTCAGGGCTTGTGGTGAGGCTAAAATGGGAAGGAGGAGCACCATGCTCCTTGGAGGAAAAGGTATTGAACTAAATAAATAAAGCTGCCTGCCTGCCTGCTGTCAATAGGCAGGGAGTTCCAAAGTTCACGTGCTGCCACACTAAAAGATTATTTTCTTACAAATGTGGAAGCGCTATTATACGACAGCTGTAACTATGCCAGTTCCGCTTATTTGCTGAATATATGCAAAATAGTACAGTGGTACCTCGGGTTACATACCCTTCAGGTTACATACTCCGCTAACCCAGAAATATTACCTCAGGTTTAAGAACTTTGCTTCAGGATGAGAACAGAAATCGTGCTCCGGGGGCAGCGGGAGGCCCCATTAGCTAAAGTGGTGCTTCAGGTTAAGAACAGTTTCAGGTTAAGAACAGACCTCTGGAACGAATTAAGTACTTAACCTGAGGTACCACTGTACAGTGGTGCCTCGCAAGACGAAATTAATCCGTTCCGCGAGTCTCTTCGTCTTGCGTTTTTTTCGTCTTGCGAAGCACGGCTATTAGCGGCTTAGCGGCTATTAGCGGCTTAACGGCTTAGCGGCTATTAACGGCTTAGCGGCTTTAAGAAAAAGGAAACAAACTCACAAGAACTCGCAAGACGTTTCGTCTTGCGAAGCAAGCCCATAGGGAAATTCGTCTTGCGGAACGACTCAAAAAACGGAAAACTCTTTTGTCTTGCGCGTTTTTCGTCTTGCGAGGCATTCGTCTTGCAAGGCACCACTGTAGTAATATTCTGCCTCTTAATGTTGCTTATTGAGCCGTTTTTTTAAAAAAATAAGCTATGTTAGGGTTTATAGAGAAAAATACAAAGCTTAATATCAAATATATTTCCCCCTTTTTTATCCAAACTAAGACTTTGTTCTAAATACAATCAAAGCATAAAGAAGAAGAAAAAGGGAGAGTGAAATGAAGAAGAGTAGAAAAGAGATTTGAAGAGAAAGATGGAATAAAATCCAGAAAGTAAAGAGTTTCCCATTCTTCATCTGTCCACTGTATATAAACAATATTCACTTCATCCTTGAGACTGTTTCTGGTGGGCTTTCCCAGCTCCCCCAAATCTGCTTGCCATTTAACCCCATAAAGCCTGCATCCCATTTTGGAACAAGAGCCAGCAGCTGGACCCAGTTGGTATTAAACACCCAATTGGTATTCTGCTGATCTGCAGGCTTCTGTTCTTTTTTTCACCAATGAAAGAAGCTTCACATTAAACTGCAACAGGATATTGGTGGGGTCAGGGCTTGGAGGGACGGCAAGAATCTGGTTCCCCTATTAGCATGAAGGCAGATGGGAAAGTGTGTGTGTGTGTGTGGGGTGTGCATTTCAGATGTTAGAAGAGAAGCAGGAACACTTTACTCCAGCCACTTTCTCCATGGCATGCAACATTTTATAAAATTAAGTCAAAATATCCAGAAGCTGTGCCTCTTGTAAACTGGCCTTGTCAGTTTCTCTGTTCCGTTGATTTGTACGTTGGTATGTAATACAGCAAAACATTACAATAGCGAAACAAAAAAATAATGCAAAACGCCCGAGTAATGCTGAGAGCATCTAAAAACATTTATAACACTGTCACAATATCTTCACAGCTAATAATTGCAAATTTGCCAGTAGGGCTGGGAGATATATCAATATATCGTCCAAAATCAGTTTGAAGTCTGTGTTGCGTTATCAGTTTCATAATTTTTGGCTTCTCTATGTAGCTTGAATCGTGGGTGCGTGCTATGCAAAAATCACAATGTGGGAAAAACTGTGAAGCCAGCTAATGCCTCTACGTAGCTCCATCCATATTTCAGACATTGTGATATATCAGTATATCACAATGTTTAGCTGGCGATATGATGTTGAAAACCAGATATTGCCCGGCCCTGGTTGCCAGGAACGGTATCTTTATATCAGTGCAGGTAAGAAAAATCTACTATACTATCTGGCTTGCCTAGTGCTCTTGCATGGAATGTGTCCTTTTAAAATGCACCTGTGGGTTATTTGTGGGGCCTGCCTGGTGTGCATAGTGTGCATAGGAATTTGTTCATTCCCCCCCCCAATATAGTCTGGCCCCCCACAAGGTCTGAGGGACAGTGGACTGGCCCCCTGCCTAAGAGGTAAAAAGGTAAAGGTAAAGGGACCCCTGACCATTAGGTCCAGTCATGGCCGACTCTGGAGTTGCGGCGCTCATCTCGCTTTATTGGCTGAGGGAGCCGGTGTACAGCTTCCGGGTCATGTGGCCAGCATGATTAAGCCGCTTCTGGCGAACCAGAGCAGCGCACACCGTTTACCTTCCCGCCGGAGCGGTACCTATTTATCTACTTGCACTTTGACGTGCTTTCGAACTGCTAGGTGGGCAGGAGCAGGGACCGAGCAACGGGAGCTCACCCTGTCGCGGGGATTCGATCCGCCAACCTTCTGATCAGCAAGTCCTAGGCTCTGGTTTAACCCACAGCGCCACCCGCATCCCTGCCTAAGAGGTAGGCACAGGCAAATTGGTGGCCACTCTGTGCCTCTCTTCTCTGTGATGAGGCTGCCTTATTCTGTTATGGGTCTGCAGAGCTCATGCTCTCACTGCTGGATCGGATCCAGATCGACACCAAGAAGGGGAGCAATATTTTGCCCATGGCCTTTTGAGGAAAAGGAGTGACTGTTGCTCAGCTCTACCACCAGGTGTCAACCTTGCTCCACTTAAAGGCCAGCAAAGAGTTTCTAAGCGTTCGGGGAAATCGGCAGCAAAACTCTGCTTCTCCAGAAAGCAACCACGGTGGTACATCCTATTTATTTAGGAACTTAAAAGGATTTCCTGCAGCAGGGCATGGTGTGAGGAATGGAGGGTGCAACTGAGGGACTGCGTGGGCCAGGGACCATGAAAGGGTTAATAAAATTTAGCATTGATATAACCGTTTCCAAGCGCGCAATAGGTGTCGTTCAAATACAACAGCCTTGTAAGGTAGGCCAGTATTATACTCATTGTTGCAGATGGAGGGCT